TATGTTCTGTGAAACCTGACGTCTTCAGAGGCCAGGGTCTGATGTTTGCTATATCTGCAGGATCCTGGGTGCTTCGTTTACTGAGTGTTTCCTGATCTTCTACCAGCAGCTTGTCGTTTCGTGGAACTTTCTCCACAGGGCCCCTTTGAGGTCTGGGCTGAAGCCACATTCATCAGAAGGCCCCTGGAACATTTCTGCCGTCGTGTGGAACACTAACAGCCTGGGAAGACCTTATGTAAATTCTCCACTTGAGATTTTTGGGACCACACTGATGTTTTTAAGGAAAACTCACGTGGAGGTCACCCACTTGGGCTTTGCGCAGGGATTCCTAGAACGGGTTCAGTTTTTCTTCCTGCCCCAACCCAACGATCACATAGCTAGGGTCAGGCAGACGCCCTCAGGGAGAGGGCAGCTGCAGAGCTGGCTTCCCTCCCAATATCCACTTGCTTTGCTTTTGAGAAAAGAGCAATGAACAGCTGTACAATCTTTATTTAAGTTCAAGAACTGAGTGATGTGTTGATGTTTTTCTAAATGTTTTATTCAAGTGTTTAAAATGGTTTTTAGGGGAAGGGCTGTTCAGGTTTAGGGGAAGGGCTGCTCAGGTTACCAGCTCTATTGTACCGCTAGAAACAGAGGCTGGGCACTATGGTAAAGATGCTGTGAGTAGTCAGCTTCCTACAGCTAACAGCATCCTGACAAAGGGAAAGCTCTTATTTTTAATTTTTTATGTTAATTTTTTCCCTGAAGAAGAGCATATATCTGCCCCTCCCCTTCTAATTTATTTTTCCTTGTGCTGGGAGTAATTCCATAAACCAATGGAAAAGCTTAATGAAAGTGGGGAGTCCTTGCCTTGGTCCGGATTTTAAAAGAAACACTTCCTCTGTCTCATTAGTACATACAGATACAGGTTTTGGTAGATACCCTCCTTTTGGTAGAAACAGGTAAAAGAGGTTCCCTCTGTTCCTAGTTTACTAAGAAGTGGGTTTTCCCTGGGCGCCTGGCTGGCTCTGTCAGTGGAGCGTGTGACTCTTGATTTCAGAGCTGTGGGTTCAAGCCCCATGTTGGGTGTGGAGATACTTTAAAATCTTAAAAGAAAAAAAGAAGTGGGTTTTCTTTTTATTTTCTGTAAATCATGAATGGGTGTTGAATTTTATCAAGAATTTTATCTTGCACTTATTGAGATTATAATGCTTTTTCTCCTTTAATCCACGGTAGAGCATAGAATATATATTTTCTGTTAATCCTTGCATTCCTGGGGTAGTCGTACTTGGTCTCAATGCAATGATTTGTTATTAATATTCTGATGATTTTCTAGTGCTCATTTCCTGACCTCTCACTAGGTTATTAGATCTGTGCTCACGGACAGGACTGGATGGTTACCCTGCTTCTTGTGTTTTCCTCCTCTGTCTGGCACCAGAGTTTACCAAGTGCAGGAAGCAAGCTGAGCACCCTCGCCTTCCACGACATTTCAGCCAGAGTGATGCTTGGCTCTCTGAACGCAGTTTGTTTGTTCCTTCGTTCCTTTCTTTTAGAGAGATCATGCACACAAGTGGGGTGGGGGGAGGGGGGACAGTGCAGAGGGAGGGTGAGAGAATCTCAAGCTGAGCCACGGGGCCTGGCATGGGGCTCAATCTCATGACCTGAGCCGAAATCACGAGTCAGACGCTTAACTGACTGAGTCACCCAGGTGCCCTGATGTTCTGAAAATTTCTAATGATGTGTCTGGCTATGTTTTTAAAACTCTGGACTTGGACTTCTTGGGAGTTTCATGTATTTTATGAATTCTGGAAAATCCTCAGTCTTCATTCCCTCCAATACCGCTTCTTCCCCGTTCTCGCCATTCTGTCTCAAAGTCCTATCAGGCATGTGTTGGAATCTGCTTCATTTCTGGGCTGCACATCTCTCTTCCGGCACCAATTCTCTCTTTAGTCTGGTTATTATGCTGATTCACCTGTTTGTTGACTTTTTAATTTTCACGATCATGTTTTTCATTTCTAGAGGTTCTCTTTGGTTCTTTTTCAAACATGACTTGTCTGTTCATGGAATCTTGATATAATCTTAAAGCTATTTCCTTCTTACCCTGGAAAAGCTCTCTTATTCTGAAATCAACCTTTCAAAAGGTTTGTTAGTGAAGGAGTGCTTAAGTTCATTTTTAAATTCTAGCACTGAGATCCACCTGGCCAGGACTCTGGCTGTTTCAGTGTCTGGAGGCATCCTTTGTGAGGAATGCAGGCCTGAGCAAGGGCACTCCTGACAAGTTCCATTAGGACTGGTGTTTCCTCACTTGGAAAGTTGTCCCAGTTAAGGCTTCTTCACCAAACAGGGCTAAGAAATTGAGTCCAGTGATGGTAGAAAGGACAGACCAAGTCCAGTAACATTCTTTCTTCCACTTTGAATGTAAATAACTTTCAAACTATAATTATGGTCCGATGTCTCATTCGGGTTTTGATTCTAAATTTGATGTGTATGCTGGGGCTCTTGCATGTGACCTGAGCCACTTCTCATTATCAGAGCAACTTAAAAGGAAATGACTTGTCTGCCCCAAGAGGACAAGGTTCTGTAAGAAACAACATCTACACTTGGACATCATCAACTCTTGCCATTAAAAATTCTGAGTGTATAGTCATCAGATTGCTGGGTTGTTTCCCCTATGTAAGATATTTTGGAAAATAAAGGAAATCAGAAAGGTTCCAAGTTGCATATTGTTCAACTACAGAGACAAACTCCCTCTAAATGCAATTTCTCTCCATCTCACCCCCTTTCCTGCAGTCCTAGGGAATCATAACCTGTCCCCCAACTACCTGAGGGTGGGTTTACTTCTCTGGAACAATTCTACTGAGCGCCCCCCCCCCCCCCAAGTTCTTTAACCACCCAAGGCTAGGCAATGTGCCTCTCAGGAATTTCTTTTCAGAAGGTGAAAAATTTACAGTTTCCAGCTCTGATTTCCACAAGACTAGGATTAAGTTTAAAATAATACCGTAAGTGATAAAAGTAAATGAGGGAATCCAAATGTAGATCCTATAGATTTGTGCAAATGAGTATTGTGACTTAACATTCTCTTCTCTGAATGCGAGAGAAACAGATACAAAGTTGTGAGTTGAATACAACTAAAACAACCACTCTTTTAAACCTGCACAGAGATCTTTCCAATTAAGTTTCTTAGTATATTGTGCATTGCTGTCTAAATAGGTCACCATAGAGACCAGAAAGCTCCCCTTAAAGTAGCAAACGGAGGGGTAGGGAGAAGTCCAAAATCTTGTGGCAACATATGAAAATACTTGAAAAGGGACAATTTAAAAGCAGAGAACAACATAAAAAGCTTTTAAATAGTGCTAGGAAAGGGACAGCAAGATGGAAGAACTTAAAAGAGGTCAAGAGAACAGTTAGCGTTCAGGAGCTATACAATTTACATAATTCATAACAGGCCTGGAAACGTCCTGGGATCTCGGGGCATCTGAAAATAACTCCTCCTTCCCTCCGGGGAAAAGAAGTCTCCTACGATAAGTAAGAGTCTTTGTGCCTTCTGGGGCTTTTCCCAGATATACCCCTTACAAATGCTTCTTACAAAAAGGAGGGGGCGGGGCAGGAATATGTGGCGTAGATGATATTCCCTTTGAACTGAATACAAAGTCTATAGGGAAAAACCCCAACGCTCCAACCACCGGGCCAGCTGGACCTCACAGCTCCTGGGCGGGTGGTCACGTGGTTCAGTGACCGGGAGCCCCACCGCCCCTTCAAGCGTCACAGACCACAGAGCTATCCCCACGTTATGTAAGAACCGCTCTTGGACGAGGTCATCGGGCCAATCGGCACCGCAGAATGCACCAGGAAACGCCTGGACTAATTGTACCGTGCGACCTAAGCGCACAGATTTCTACACGTGCCGGAATTCCTCGGGGAGGACCCTCCGGTCAGAGGGAGACGCATGGGCCGAGTCGCCCACCCTCCGGCCGTGGGGTCCTCCAGGACCTCGTCTCCGGTCCGGCATCAACTCCCGACCCCGAGTGAACGCCCCTAGAGTAGCTGCCACAGGTAAGGGCTCAGCATACCTTCAACAGAGACGCACAGGACCTGCCACATCCACCCGCAAACCGCAAGGCCCTGGGGCCGCGACGCGCCCTGGTCTCTGCCACGTCCCAGTCGCCGCGGCCCGCGGGGCAGCGCCCTCGGACCCCACTTCCCACGCCCCCCGGAGGAGCCCTGCGCGCCCGGCCTGCACTCACTGTTGTACTGCACCCCTTTGGCGAAGCGCCTCTGCAGCGCCTGGTTCATGGACTGCAGCCCGGCGGGGATATTCTTGTCGCGGCCCGGAGCCTGCTCCGACCCCACCAGCTTCTTGAGCGCGGAAAACATCTTCCCGCTCCCACGTTCGAGCCCGGCGCGGCCCGCGAGCTCAGCGGCGGCGGCGGCGGCGGCGGCCCGGCGCGGGTCGCAGCATGTCCTGGGTCCCGGCGGCCGGGTGCCTGCCTCGGGGGCGGCTCCGGGGCTCAGCCGCGGCGGCTCCGCTCCGGCCCCCGCGACCCCCGGCGCGGACACCCTCCGCCTGTCAGAGCCGCCATCTTGGCGCCGGCTCGACGAGGCGCACGGCTACGGGGTGCCGCGAGGGCCAAGGGGGTGCGCGCATGCGCGGCGGGACGCGCATGGGCGCGGGCTCGGCGCTAAGGGGCGCCGCGAGGGCCCTGGCCGCGCGGCGGCGCCGGAGCGTGCGCATGCGCGGGGTGGCGCGGGCGGAGGTGGGCGCGGAGCCACGTCGGCCGCGGGGCCTTCGGAGCGTCCCCGGGCTTCCGGAGCGGGCCTGACCCCTCCCGCCCACCCCTCAATCCCGGACCCACACCCAATGGCCCACTTTCCCGCCGGCTTCCCCACGTGATCCCCCACTTCCGCGGTCCCCCGGGTTCGTGTCGGAGACTCCCGTCCCCCCGGTGTCCCAGCAGTCCTGGACAAATGTTTATTTGTTTAACAAAGCGCCGGCTAGGGGGCTGGGGGCGGGGCAGGGGCTCCTCCTCCTCGGGGTTACTTTTTCTTCTTCTTGGCCACCTTGAGCCTCCCCTCGATCAGCCGCTGGGCCTGCCGCTTGATCTCGGCCCGCGAGGGGACGTAGCTGTGGTCCACGTCTGCGAACTGGAAGGTTTCTAGAAAGGAGCGCGAGGAGGAGGGGAGCCGCGCCCTGCGGCCCCTCTGCTCCAGCGAGCTTGCTTCCACTCCGCTCTGTCTGCTGGCCTGCATTCATCCCAGGGCCAGGTACTAGCTACTTTTTCTTATTTTCTCTATTCCTGGTGCCCTGGCATTTGGGGTCTTACACGCTCGGGGAGAGGCTGCCACTCGCAGGGCTAGCCAGTTCTTAGAGGGGGCAGAAGGCTGGCCGCTGGGAGCCGTCTCTCTTGCACACCAACCCGTCCAGAGCCCACGCCCGCGACCCCCTGCTTTATCAAACCCTCACACCAAGCCAATATTCCCCCGCCTAAATCAACCCAGGGCCAGGCACCAGGCAACTGGGAACAGCCCTACACCCCAAGCCCACCAGAATTGTTCAAAAACCCCATCTGAAGCTGTTTGCCCTGTCCTCCACCCCCCCTTTCCTACAGAAACCCCAAGAAAGGCCTAGGCCATTCCCTCGCTCCTCTCTGACTCCTCGAAGGCAGTGATGCTCCCATATGTCAGGAAATGTAACAAATTCTCCTTCCGATGGCATTAGCCTCTCCGTGTCCTCACTAAGTCACCTCCCTGAATTAAAATCCCATGGGAACGGGGGATGCACCCTCTTTGTCCCTGTAGTGCCCCTGTGCCTCCAGGCTGTCCTGGTCAGACGGAGCCATCTGCCACTCCTCTCCTCCCTGTGGCTGTGTGGCCTGGCCCCCAGCCCCAAGCCTGTACCTATCATATCCTCCTCCGGGTCCTCAAAGCTGATCCTGGTGTTCTGCTTCTCCTTCAGAGTCGAGGTCTCCAGGGTATCCCTCACCTTTGTGTCCACCTGCAGGGCACAGGGGACTGTCAGTCCAAGGGAACGTGGGATGCGTGGGCACGCCCAGCCTCCAACTACCTCCTCGCTGCTGGACAGCATCTGCACTCTGTCAGCCAGGTACAGGAGCTTTGCTTCGCAGTACGCCAGCTTGCCAAACACGTCGAGGCTGTCAGAGAGCGCCACTTCTTTCTGTAGGCCGGGACAAGGATCCCGTCTCTCCTCTGGCTTCTCCCAGGGACTCTGTGCAGGCGGCTCCCCCCCACCGCATCTGCTACCTGGGCTGTGGGCAGGGCAATGCCAATCAGCCGGATGAAGAGGTTGTCAATGCCTATCTGGATGGTCAACAGCAGTTTCTGGCTCTTGGTCATGCTGGAGTAGGCCAGCTGCAGTCTGTCTTCCTCCTCTCTCAGCATGTCCTTCATTCTCTTCTCCACGGACTTGAAGCTGTTGGGGAGGATGGTGGCACAGATTCCGGGCCAAGGCAGCCTGAGCCCTGAGCTGAGTGCTGTGCTAAATTAAGGAGCTCCAGAGTTCAGATAGCTCAGGTGTGAGCATGCGGCACCCCTTGACTGGGCCCCTCCACCCCACCTGCCAGGTACCCACAAGCTTGTTGGCAGTGGACACTCTCAGCTCGAGCTGGGCCCCAGCCCACATGGGCTGTTCATGAGGATCAGTCGGGGGGGCCCCTGTGGAAGGCAGAGGCCTGGAGGGTACCTAACGGAGCTGGGCGTCTCACGGAACTTGAGCATTGCCTCCTCCATTTCCAGCTTCTTCATCAAAGCCTCCAGCTTCGCCCGCCGCTCCTCGCAGTCCTCCATCTGCAGCTCCAGGTTCTCCTCGGTGTTCCTCTGAGCCAGGAACCGGCCAGCGATGTCCTGGTGGGGCCAGTGTGGGGAGAAGCAGAACTGGTTTCTTCTGGGTCCCTCCCCATGGTCAGGAATGATGCTGACTGTGGCCAGGCACTGGGCGAAGCACTTTAGGTGAGTCAGTGCATGTGACCCACACGACAAGCAGAGAGGGCAGACAGCCCAAGGCAGAGACGAGGAGACCACCCCTGAAAGACTGCCTCACTTTGAGCCACTTGTCCGAGGATGGACAAGCTTATGTCAGGGCTGAGGATGGGAGCTAAGGCTTACTAATAATAAACCCAGATCGGATTAAACACAAGGGCCAGGCAGAGGCGGCCTCTCATTGTGGTCTTAGGGGTTTGGGAAGGGACAGAGTTGTAGGTGGCAGTCTCAGCACTTGGGTCCTCGAATCCCAGCAGGCTCGTGCAGCCCCTGGAATGTGACTTGGATATGCTAGAGTGCTTTCTACTTTCAGCCGTGGGGGCTGCAGCTCTGTGTCCCTTCATTCAGCAGGCTCAGCCGGGCCTTGGGCTGGGGAAGGGGCTCCCTGCCTTCCCCCACCCCTAGGAGAGCCAGGGAGCAGTACCCAGAGGTGGGAGCACCGCACAGCTGTCTTCACTTTCTCCACCAAAGCAGTCACATCTGTCTGGTATTCGATGTCCGCCTTGGAGGTCTCTCTTTTCCTCACTGGGCAGAGCAGAGGGGAAGGGGGCCAGCATGCAGGGACGGCGTGGGAGCTCTGCTCGAGGCCACCAGACACCTCTGTGCCTGCCCAGGCATCAGGGGAGACTACCAGAGAACTGGGCAACTACCCATCAGAGCTACCTGCACTTTTACCTGGCCTGTCCGGGATGCCCCAGGGCAGCTCCATCCAGAAGCAGCCCGGCATGGGGCCTTTGTGGCCCTTCTCAGAGGCAGCCCAAGGGTCTAGGGGGCCGGACTTAACTCTTCTGAGGAATCACTGGGTGATCCAGCCCTGGGGTGACAGGGAACAGCGGAGAAGCTGGGGGCTTGGCCACACTCGGCAGCGAGTCCAAGGATGTGGGCTGTGGCTGTTGGCACTGAGCCTCTGCAGGTAGAGCTGGGGAGGGGCAGGTGTCTCCCTCACCCTGGCCCCTGCAGGTTGCACCTGGCCTCACAGAGACCTGACTGGGTGGCCTGTGCCGTGCTGGCCTCCTGGACCCTGGCTGGGGGCGGCAGAGAGCTGAGTGCTCACCTTTCACAGTTTCTGTACCCATCAGGTTGGAGGGGAAGTCCAAGTCCCGCCGGCCCTGGTAGGAAAGGGAGGACGAAGTGAGCAGCACCCTCTGCTGGGGAGCGGGCCACCCAACGTTCCTTGCGCTGCAATGGGGCTCCCGCAGGGACTTACCCGGCGATACTTCTCGTTGGTCTCCTTCGTGTGGATCTTGTCAATCAGCTTCTTCTGCTGGTTGAGCCGGTTCTCCCGAGCCCTGCGTTCTTCGATGAAAGTCGCCTCCCCTCGCCGCATGTTCATCTGGGGACGCAGGAGGTGGGGCACGGTAATGTCTCACCGAGGCCCCCGTGGTGCTAAATGCAGCATTCAGTTTCAGTCCCCATCTTCTAGATTTGGGAATAGCATTGGAGGCTCTTGGCTGCGCCCTTCTTCCTAAACTGCGCCTGCCTGCCGGCTTTCACCATCCTTCCTGCTTTCCGCCCTCCTCTCTGGACTCCTCCTCCCACGCTGGGCCTCTGAGGGGTGCCGCCTTCCCCTGCCCCTCCTCTGCTGGAGTCGCCCACCCCAGCTGCAGCCAGGGCTCGGGGACCCCATGTCTCTTTGTAGCCTGGGCTCCCCGCTGCCTCGGCCGGCTCAACGGGGAGTGATTCCATGTGTCTAAAAAGGAACCTGACATCTTCCCCCAGACCTGGTCTCTTCCCCAGTGTCCTGCTTTGGTGGCTAAACCCATCATCCATCCGCGCCTGGCTATGCTTCCTGGACGCTGCTCTCCCCCTCCTTGTCCACATCTGACTCGGCGTCAGACCCCTTTGGGTGACCTTTAGAGACTTCTGGGCCCCATTGATGTTCAGGTACCCAGTGCTACCACTGGTCCGTCCCAGGCGACCAGTGTCTGGACTCTGGTTCCCTTGGGTCTCTGCAGCCAGAGCATGCCTGTTTTTGAAATGCAGATCTGATCCCACTGCCCCTATGTCTCCTCCCAGAGCTTCAGGTTGGGTGGGGGGCCAGGACCTAAGCCCCAACCACCCTGCTTCCTCCACTGGCTCACAGGCTCCATTCCTGTGCATCTCTGCTCCAGCCACTTGCACCTCCTTTGGCCTGGTTATGCCCCAGGACCTTTGTTGTCCTTCATCTTCCAGGGTTCGGGCCCCTCCGTCCTCCAGAGCCCCACTCAAGCATCGCTTCCCTGAGCAGATAAGTGCCCCAGGGGGGCCCCACATCATCCACTCCTCTCACTGCAGCATGGGCCAATGAGTGTGTGACATTTCTTCATGGACTACTGGATGGCTTTGTACGCTGGCCCCTCGTGAGGATGACACATGCCTGACTTGCAGGCACAGACTGGGTGAAGGGATGGCCCCTGCCTGGGCCAGGCACATTCCCTCCTGTGTCTCCCTCCAGGCTTCCATGTCTGGTGGGACCCTCTGTGTCCAGGGCCATCATGTGTGAGCAGGGCAGGCTCGTGGGGTAGCCAGTGATTGCAGGCAGTGTGGGTTTGGGGTGTTCCTATGGACCCTGGGCCAGACGGGTCTGAGAGGGAGCCCTGAGGGACCCCCAGCCCTGGGGCTTGAGCTCACCTTGACCTCATCTGTAATCATCATGGCGTCCTGGGACATGACTGTCATGTCTGACAGTTCTGAGCAGTAGTCGCCCACCAGATTCTGCAGCTTGTCCAGCTCTGTGGGGTATCCTACCAGCTCCTACAATGAACGGGGCAAGGGCAGGGGTGCCCGGTGGCTCATTTGGTTAAGCGTCCAACTTGTGATTTTGGCTCAGGTCCTGACATGATATTGAGCCCCATGTTGGGCTCTGTGCTGGGTGTGGAGCCTGCTTAAGATTCTCTCTCTTCTTCCTCTGCACTCCCCCAACCCCTGTGCGCGCTTTTTCTCTAAAATAAATCTTAAAAAAAGAAGGGGCAAGAGCAGAAACTGATGGCCCAGGGGCTACGGGCCAACCAGATGCTGCCCTTCCAGAGTGGACCATCCCTGCCCCCAACTCCTTACCCCGGACTGTGCGAGCCCTGAGGACAGTGATGGGGTGTCCCACTGTGTGAGAGGTGACTGCCACCCAGGGAGCCTGCTGCTGTCTGAAGTGAAGCAGGGAGGCTCAAAACACAGATGTGGGGTCAGAGACTCAGGGCTCAAGGCCAAGGCTGCCCTGACCAGCTGGCTGTGGGAACTTGGGAAAGCCACTTAACCTCTCTGAGTGTCCCCATCTGTTGATAATGGTTCTTTCGGAAGGCAGCTGTCAGAATCTATTCAGAAGGTATAATGAGGTATTAAGCTCAGAGCCAGCTTCATAAATATCCAATATATATGACTGTTAGTACTTTGCTGTTAATAACTACAATGTAGAATCTTTGCTAGTTTTTTTAAAAATACAGATGACCATGGGAGTTATTTTTGAAAAATGCATATGTTCTGCGGGTGCCTAGGTGGCTCATTCGGTTAAGCATCCCACTCTTGATGTCAGCTCAGGTGTTTTTCTCAGGGTCGTGAGTTCAAGCCCTGTGCTGGGCTCCATGATGGGCATGGAGCCTAATTTAAAAAAATGTGTATGTTCTGAAAAGAGCATGCCCCTGGGGGGACAGAATGCTCCCAGATGAAGGGGGGCTGGACCCAGGAGTACAACTGGAGGGGGAAGGGGTGTGAGGAGGCGGGTCCAGGAAGGCAAGGTGGCAGGGCCTCCGTCTGGGTCTCTAGGAACAGGGTGCTGTGGCAAGAGGGACAGGCAGGAGGACCATGGTGGCCTGGCTCTGTGGGCTATGGGCCGAACCTGGAGGGCTGTGACTCCAGCCAGGAGGAAGGAGCTGCAATGCCTACCCATCCCACCCTCCTCCCAAACCACACTTGCACCTGTCACCTGCCCTCCGGGGCTCCCCCTGTGCCAGCCTCAGGATGAGGGAATTGGGAGAACTTCCTCACTCTCCCTGCCCCGCCTGCCACAGTGCTCCTCGCAGCACCTCGCAGCCCTCCTGTCTTCTGGTCCTCCTCCTCCTCATGGAGAGGCCCTGCCTCCCAGCAGGACTCATGGCCGCCGGGGGCCTCCTCCAGGCCTCATCTGCTGGGGGCAGGGTGGGCGGCTTGGAAGAGGTGGGCAGCAAGCACGGGGTTACCGGCCTGCTCAGAGGTGACTTGCCCTCTATGATGTTAGGGCACTTTCTGAGGGCTCAGGACCCATCTTTTGCCCTAGAGGCCAGGCAAGCGAGAAAGGATGGGGCAAAACAAAAACATTGAACCATCAAATACATGCAGAAACCCAAGCAATTCTGATATATCCCATAATATGCCTTTTTGAAGAAGCAACTAACAAGTTTCCGCATACAGATACATGGTGCCCCTGCTCAGCTGGGGCCCAAAGCAGGGGTCTGTCCTTGGGGCACACTGGCCTGAAGGAGACTTGCAGCCCCTCCCCTGCGGGGGGGCGGGGAGCGTGGCCCTGCCCCGGAGGCTCCTGTCCCCACTGAGATGCACTGCACCTAGGCTGGGGCCTGAGACTCCTGTGCTCACGGCCAGATGGCTTCCCGGGCTGGGGTGTGGGGAGAGGGGGCTCACTTTCTTCAGATAATCCAGCAGGTCCACGTACAGCAGGTGGATGTTCTGACTTGTGGTGATCTTGATCATGGTCTTTTCAATGTTGTTCTCCAGCTGGCGGATGACCTGGGGGTGGCCCGAGGGCACACAGTGCTTGGGGACAGCCCACCGGAATGCCCACCTGGAGTCGGACCCCGGAGGATGCGCTTTCTTCCAGGGAGGGAGGGACGGAGAGTGTGAGTGTGTGCGTGTGTGCGCGCGCGGGGCGCGCGCCTGGGTGTCTTTCATCTAGCCCCGCCCCTTCCAGGGCCCCGCCCACCCCACGAAGCCCCGCCCCGCCCGCCACCTGTAGCATGCGCAGCTCTTCCTTGGTGGCGTCCGGTTGGCTCCTCAAGCTGGCCAGCTCCAGCTGCATGCACTCCAGCTTCTGACCCCGCCGCCGCACCAGGTGAACCAGCACGTTGTGCACGTTCACGCGGTCGAAGACGTACTTTCGCAGCTTCTCCCGCGCCACCTGGGTCGGGGAGGGCACGGCCCGCGCGTGGGTGTGCAGGGGGCCGCGGAGCCCGCGCGCGGCGGGGCTGGAGGGGCGGAACCCCTGGGATCGGGCGCCCGCTCTGCCCGCCACCGGTTCCGCAGCGTCGTTTAGTGGTGGTGGTGGGGGCGTGCACTGGCTGGGAGAGGCTGAGGGACCCCCTCCTGCCACCTCACCTCCATGGAGGAGCGGCAGTGCGCCAGCCTCATGGACGCGTCCTTCCCGCAAGCCTTGGAAATGGTCCGCTGGTCATCCTGCAGAGCGGCGGTGGCTGAGCTGGGGCCCTGGTCTCTGTGTGTACCGCCAGCCCCCAGTTCCGCCAGGCATTCTCCCCCGGCCTCCTCTACCCTGTGCTAGCCAGCAGCAAGGCCCCATCCGGGTCATCTCAGCTCATATGTGATGGAAGTCTGGAGGAGAGGGCCTAGTCTCCCCTACATGGCCAGAGAGCCAGAGGGGCCCGTGCTGTAGGGGGTAGCCCCGAAAAGGACCGCAGTCAGGCCAACTCTGCCTGCTAGGCTTTCGGGAGTGACTGGAGCTAGGGGAACAGGTCCTGGGAAGCCCCTCCCCAAGATGCCCCCTGGCTCCTGAAAGGTCAGGGGCGAGGGGGGAGAAGAGGAGATGCCTGCCCTCCACCTCTGTGTGGGACTGTTTCAGCACGTGCATGCCCCCTCCCCCCATCCCCAGCCAGGGGTCAGCAGGGAGGGGGCAGGACTGCTTACCTTATTGGCCAAAACCCAATCTTGGGCCCCGCGTCGGATGTTGCTGCTCAGGAGAGCCAGCATGGTTTTGTTCTTGGCACTCTTCTCCTTTACCGCTTGGATTTGCAGTGCCCGACATTGCTCTGCAGTAGGGGGCGGGGAGCGGAGGGGCAGAGGGCCAGGAGGCCAGGATGTGGGCCAAAGGCTGGCCGGATTCCTGAGCTGGGGAGGCTGCACACCAGGGAGGCCCAAGGGGGGGTGGGCACGGGAATGCTGCCTCCACAGCCACGGTCCTCCCTCCCACCAACTGAGGCTCACCGGCTTCCCTGCTCAACAGTGCTTATGTGGATGGCTCTGCTGGGCAGTGGGGAGGGTGAGGTGGCAGCCAGAGATGGGCACATCCTGGGACCCCTTCCAGACCCACCCTGCCTGTCCCCTCTGGCTTTGGGGCTCACTGTGCTCACAAATCTCCCTGAAGCTGGCAGCCCCTTTGGTCCCTTCCCTTAGATCTGTTGGGGGAGGCGGCCACTAGTCCTTGTTTGCCCTGGACTGGCCCTGCGTTAAATCTGAAAGCCCCTGAGCCCGTAAGTGGCCAGCAGGCTGGAACCTGGGGGTGGGCTCACCTTGGAGCCGAGTGATTGTTTTCAGCTCCTGGATCTGCTCGTCCACATCTGCCTCGCTGCGCATCTTCATGGTAGCCCTCAGGGTCCTCCAGGGACCCTCTGCACTCCTGCCCTCCCTGTGCTGGGCCTGCTCAGCAGAACCGCATGCACTTGAGATTGTCTCCGGAATCTTGGCCCATTGTGACGAGGGCTGAGGTTCTCAATGTCCAGCTCAGGGGACCCTGGAGATCCTGGCCCGCCCTGCCCCCACCCCCTGCTCCCAGTCAGCCTTGGGGTTGTCCCCTGGATGCGTGGGTCTTAGGCTGCTCTCTGCTCAGGAGCACTGTCAGGGTGGAGGCGCCTTCCACAGGGCCATGGTGATTTGGGGTGGTTTGACAGTGTACCCCCCACCAGCCCCCGTACCCTCCCCATCCCCTCCACACCCCCAGGCTGTCCTCTGAGCCTCCTAAAACTTCCAATCTCTGCCTTATGGGATCTCCATTCCCTCACCCCACCCCAAGCTCAGACTGCACCCTGGGCGACCTGGCTTGTGAGGCCCCATCTCTCCCTGCCCTTCGCCTGCTGCCCGGAGCCATCCTGCTCCGCCTCCGCTTCCCTGGGGGAGTTCCTGGGTCTAGCTTTAGGTGTCACTTACTCTGGGAGGGGTCATCCCCGGCCCACGCTGCCCTTGGAGTTGTGTGCCCCAACCCGACAGGCTGGGATCCCAGGGTGCATACCAGCTAGGTTACTGTTTCTGGCCACGCTGCCTGAATTGGCTGGGGCTGCCGTAACAGAGTGCCACAGCCCACGTGGCTGCAACAGTGGGAATTTATTGTCTCGTATCCTAGAGGCTGGGAGTCTGAGATCGAGGTGCAGCCATTGGACAGGGGCCAATGGACAGGGGCTGCCCCCCACTCAGGAAGACTGCCCAGGCCTGGCCTCGTCCCCAGGCCCGGAGGTGGCTGTGCCTCTCCCCTGCGGCCGGGGCATCCAGGTGAGCTAGAACCTGCCCCAGGTCACATGACACAGTAGCCCATGGTATCTGTCTCTGAAGCCATGTCCACTCCCAGGCCCGTGCACCACCCAGGACTTCAGTGTTCTGACCAGCGACCTAAACTGATGCCCTCTCTCCCCCAGGAGACCTGGCCAGGCCCCAGCCTCATCCCCTTCCACTTCAGAGGCCACCTGAGTCCCGTATCCCAGACTCTCCACCATCACGCAGACCCTCGGCCTTTCCCACCCGCTCTCAGGCCCCCTGCCCCTCCCCGCCCTGCCCCAAAGGCTGCCAAGAGCCAAGGTCCCCATCAGCCAGGCAGGGCTGGTTCCTCCTGAGCTGGGAGACGGCTGTCTTCTTGCTGTGTCCCCACAAGGTCGTCCCTCCGTGTGTGTCTGTGTCCTCCTCCCCTCAGGAGGGCATGGGCCAGACTGGATCAGGGCTCCCCCTCATTTTCATGTAATCATTTCTTTCAAGGCCTTGTCTCCAAATGCAGTCATATGCTAAGGTCCTGAGTGTTAGGGCTGTGACATGTAAATCTGGGGACATACAGTTCATAACCATGGCCGTCACCCATATGCTGTCTAAGACCTCATGCAGACATTTTAGCTTTCCTGGTCATTGCCAGTTTTTAAAAAGTGAATCCAGTCCCATTTAAAACTCCAGGTTCACCTTCTGCTGTCGCTCTGAGACCTCAGGGGTTTGGCAGGACCAGTCACAGGCACGGTCCTCCCCCGTTCTCCCTGGGCCTCAGGCAAAGTCTGCTCACTGTCCCTCAGTATCGGTGAGGCCGGGGGAGAATGCCTGGCGGTACACAGACCTGGCTCCCTTCTTCCTCAGATATACAACCCTTGAATTTTAGCGGGCTATGCGGCTGCCCTGAACAAGGCTGTCTTCCTAGGCACCTTGGCACTGGGTGTACCGCATGACTTAGTTTTGGCCAATGGAGTGTAAGCACAAGTGGTGAGTGAACTGTCCTCCTCCCTAGTGACTGGGATGAAGACACGATGGCTGGAGCTGGCACTGCTGCGTGGAACCATGAGGTGCATCAGGAACAGAGGCCATGACAGGGGGCAGGGGGCAGACTGAATGGGGCCTGGGTCCTTGACCACCTATCAGCCCCGGATCACCCACTTGGACTATTACATGAAAGTAAACCCCAACCCCAGCTTGCTCATGCCATGGTTATCTTTGGCTTCCTGTCATTTTGCCTTCCCACTAACCGATTCCCTGGTGCCTAGTAGGTGCTCAATATTCTTTTGAATGACTGGCTAGGCCAAGAGGTGCAGGAGTTGCGCTGGGGCTGGAGCAGCGTGGCCCTGTGTTGTGTACGGTCAACTGTACAGGACGATGGATTTGCCCAGCTGTTATGTAACATATCTCTGCCTCTCCCTCGGTCGGGGGGTTGGGGTGTGTAGTCCTGTGGACAGAACTCCAGTAAGCTAGCTCTGGCCTCCCTCCACGGACCCTCACCTCCTCCTGCCTTGGAGTGAAGTGACTTAACCTGAAGGGTGTGTTTGGAATGGTAGGCGGGTAGGCATGGCCACTTCCTGTGCCTTGTCTCTTGGGGGCCAGGTGCTAACTGGCTGCACACCTGCTTTGCTCCCCCATGGCTAGATGTGTGGAAGCAGACCCCATGTGGGAAGGCCTGTGGAACCGTCTGATTCTGGGGCTGTGGTAGGAGCTGCCCCAGCAGGTGCCCCAGTGTCAGTATATGGTACTAAGGTGACATTTGTCTCTCATCTTCTTACTGCTTTGACGTGCTTCCCAATTGTTTTCGAACTCAGTTGGGAAAACGCAAGGCATTTATTTGTCCAGCAACCCCCAGCAGCAGCTGTCCCCTCTGACTGTGGGGCATGCCAGGGCCAGACAGGGAGTGTCAGAGCACCAGGGCATGCAGAAGTCCCTTCCACCAAGTGCCCAGGGCCTCTCTGATCCTTTCCAGCTCTCAGCGTCCACCATGTTTCTCACTGCCTTCTGGGAGACCAACCACCGCAGGGACAGCCCCTCTGGCCTGACCTGGGCAGGAGTAAAGGTTTGCACAGGGTTGGCAGACCTGGCCATGCATGTGTGCAGGGGACACCGTTGGGTCACCTTAGGGTGTGAGGGGGGAGGGCGAGGCTGAGGTGAGGAGGCCCTGAGGGCTATGTTCTAGAAGTTTCTGGCCCCAGGTCTTCTGCGCCCCAGCTGGAGCTCTCCTAGCTGTGCCGACCTGTAGGAGGCAGAGGGAGACAGCTGGAATCACAGCCTCAGCTGCTCACCAGGCCTCTACCAAGAAGGATGCCCCTACCAAGAAGGTGTCTGGCCACTCTTCTTGGGGGGTCCACACTCCTGACTCTGCACCCCCCCCCCCCGTCCCAGGGCCACCCAACCCCTCCTGCACAAGGGGCTCAGGAAGGTCTGGCTGTTGCATGCCACCCACTCCCGCCCCTCCAGGATGGACAGGCCACAGGGGAGAGGCCCTGTCCAGCCTACACCTTGAGCCCTGGGCTTGCCTGCCTAAACCTCTGGCCCTGGAGCCTCAGGTCCTGCTTCCCGCTGCCCCCAGCCTCTCACCTGTGCCCCTGTCTTTGGGGAGCTGCCCCGTCTCCAGGAAGAGCCAGAGGTTGCTACATCTGTGTGACTCCACTCGGGTCACCCAGTAGCTGGCCACTGAGCCTGTGACTGGGGAGCGGGGGGCAGGGGCCAGTGGGCTGTGGGCCTGGGCCTCTGCACTTCTCAGGGACAGGGGGCCTGGGCCCAGGCTTCTTCTGGGCAGATGGTGGTGGTGGGCTTGGCAGGACTCCCACCGAGAACTAGGACCCCAGCCCAGGAGGTAGGGATGCTGGGACCACAGCTTCCCCACCCCTAGTGGGAACCCGCCCCTGCTGAAGAGCCAGCATCACCTCTGGCAACTCAGGTGCATGTTAAGGCCGTAGGTACAGGCCCTGCGTACCCACCCACGGCCACCAGCACGCTCCACTGGAAGGGGTACGAAAACTTCCTCCGAATGAACATCTGCAGGCCGGAGGTTGCACCAGTGCCTGCCAAGAGCCAAGGTCCCCATCAGCCAGCCCGTCCACGAGGCTGGCGGGGGACCCACCTGGGCGCCGTCCGAGTGCCCACAGCCCCGGTGAGGCTCCCAGCATCTGAGAACGGGCGGCCCGACGCCACCTGCTGGGGACTCAGGGTGAGACGGGAGGGTGAGGTCTCTCCAGACCCCAGGACTTCCGGACCCAGCCTACCTGTGACAAAGGTGAAGATGCCCTTCACGAAGGCCTCCGACTGGCACGCGGCGTACTCCCCCAGTCCCTGGGATGGGGGAGGAGTGAAGGCTCAGCTCCCCTCCCTCTTCTTTCACAGGCCCTCCTGTCCCTCCTTCGGGCACACTCTGGCCGTAAGGAAGGGGACCACGCATCGGGAGGCCCTGGGGACTTGGACACATCGCACCTGCCTCCATGTCCACCCAGGCTGCACCGATCCCCATAACAGGAGGGTCCCCCCGCTCTCGGTCCCTCTTCCCTGAGGAGGGTAACCCCCCTCCGAGCCCGCAGCCGCCCCGCTCAGGTCAGCTTCTGAGGTCCGGGGCCCGCGTCCCAGGCCAGCCTTCTCACCGGGTGCTTGGCGGCCACGGTGTCGTCCACCCGGGACAGACCCAGGTTCACCATGGCTGGCAGGTCACCCGGAGCGGGAGGGCGGAGCCTGCGCAGGACGTGCGGAGGGGCGGGTGCGGACAGGGGGCGGGGCCTGCGCGGGGGCGGGGCCTACGCAGGAGGGGCGGGGGCGAACAGGGAGCGGAGCCTGCGCAGGGGGCGGGGCCTACGCAGGAGGGGCGGGGGCGAACAGGGAGCGGAGCCTGCGCAGGGGGCGGGGCCTACGCAGGAGGGGCGGGGGCGAACAGGGAGCGGAGCCTGCGCGGGGGCGGGGCCTACGCAGGAGGGGCGGGGGCGAACAGGGAGCGGAGCCTGCGCAGGGGGCGGGGCCTACGCAGGAGGGGCGGGGCCTGCGCAGGAGGGGCGGGTGCGAACAGGGGGCGGGGCCTGCGCAGGAGGGGCAGAGGGGCAGGGACGAGCAGGCAGCTGATGCTAACTGAGGGGCAGAAGCCCCTCAAGAAGCCCACTGCAGAGGTGCCCAGCCCTGGCCCATTTCCTGGAGGGACACGGAGGGCACACGCAAGTTAGGAGAAGGTGGACAGTGTGTTTGCAGAGCAGCTACCCAGACATGGGTGGGACGCGGGGGACCCTCAGGGTGGGGGCAGGAATCTAGAGCTCAGAGCAGCAGAGCTGAGCACCCTAGGTCAGAGGGTCAAGGGGAGGACCTGTTCCAGCATGTAGAGGGGGGACTGTGTAGGTGAGGCCCCCCAGGGACTATAGGGGGGGACCTGGCCAGCACAAAATAACCTTGATTCACCTCCCAGCTCCTGCTGGGCCCCCCTGGGGCAGAGCCCAACTGGGCAGGGGGCCCAGGGGCCCTTGACATCATCCACGCAGTTTGAGCTCCCTCCGTGGTCAGCAGGGTGGAGGCTCTGAAGACCTGGAGATTCTTTCTCCTTCCCTGAGGACAGAGGTCTGGGGTTAGGAAGCTCCCTGGAGGCAGGAACCTGACCGGAGACTGGGCTTGGGGGAGATGGTCAGCAGCCCTGACCAACCAAAACCAGTGAGAGTTTACTGGAAGGATACTGGGGCTCCTGGATTAGCAGGAAGCTGGAGAACCAAGAGATTGGGAACGGGGGCAGGTCCGGGGGTCTGGTGAACAGGAACAGAACAAGAACCTCCAAGGGGAAGTGTTGGGTCTGAGTCATGCTGGGGGTACTAGCTCCAACCAGCCCCTGAGTCCTAGCCCTCCTCCTCGAGGCTCAGACCCCAGGGCAGGCCATGGGGGCTGCTGGGCAAGGGCAGCCCCCCACACCTGTGCCCCTTGGCCTTCACAGCGTGATGCTGGGAGGGGGTGAGGCCGGGAAGCCAGACAAGTCTCCAGGCCTGAGTGCCCGCTGCAGCCGTGGACAAGGCCGGCGATGCCACCCACACAACCCCCGGGCTGCAGACGTGCTGGCATGGTATAGAGGCCCCGGGTTTTAGCGGACCTGCAGGCCAAAGCGACCTTCCTCCCTCATTTATCCACAGCTATGAACTGAGCACCTTCTGCAGCCGGAGCTGGGGAATCAGAAGCCAACAGGCCACCTGCAGCTCCTGTTGTCCCCGAATTTATAGTGTGTGGAGCAGAAACAATAAATAAACCCAGAAGAAAATGCGGATTAAGCTCAAAGCCTGGAGGAAAGAGACGGGGGTGGGGTATAGACTGGGGTTTGAGGAGGGCTGCTTGGAGGAGGCAGAGGCCACAAGCTGCCCAGGGAGCAGCAGGCTCCGAGCTGGTGCCGGAAGAGCCACAGGGCCAGGGGGCTGGGTTTTATCCTCCGTGCTATGATGAATCCGGAGACTTTTAAGCAGGGCTGCATCAGATTTATGCCCACTGTGTGGCCGAGGACAGAGGGAGCCAACGGGTGGCTGGGCCGCATTGAAGACGGTCAGGGACGGGCTGGTGGCGGGTGTGTCTTCCGTGGGTTGAGGGGTTGCCCTGCACCTGGGAGGCTTCTCGGGGGGGTCTGCAGGTTGTTGTCTGTCCCTTGGTCCTTGCTGAGCCTTGGTCCTGTGGTTGGTGTGGGCGTCTGTCCCTCGGTCCTTGCTGAGCCCGGCGGTCCTGTGGTTGGTGTGGGCATCTGTCCTGCCCCCACACTTTTCCTTGGAGCTCTGGCCTTGGAGTGGGGTGGGGAGGACTTGGCACTCCTTTGGCCTTTCTGTCCCCCAACCCGAGAGGTGCGTTTGGGGGAAGATTTCGTAGATATTTGTAGCTCGTATAGATGCGTTTTAAACAACGAGGTCTAATTTGCACGTAGCAGAACTCACTTTTTAGTGTTAGCTCTGCGAGTTTATAGACAGACGCAGGCCCTGCCACGGCTGGGCATCTTCCTGTTCCTGGGGACTGGCCTATTCTGGAAGGTTCTAGAAAGGAATCTCCATCTGCAGTCTTCCTGAAAAGGCCTCTCTCACTCAGGAATGCATCTGGGATTTGTCTAAGCATGTTACCTGAGTGGATGGTTTGTTCTTTCCATGCCCTCCTGCCACGGAGGACCCGTCATCCTGGTAGCCGCGGGAGACACTTGGTGGCTTCTGCTTTTTGGTGGTGGTGCGTAGAGCCCTCCAAACACCCACGAGCAAGGGTTTGCCAAAGTTTTCATTTTTCTCATGTAAACACCGAGGTGTGTGATCGTCATATTGTCTGGGAAATGAGTGTGTCCCTTTCTGAGAATTGGCCACATGCTGGCGTCCCGACAGCGAGTCCTTGCTGGATGGCGACTGGCCGCTCCCAGAGCTGCGGCGTGTCTCAGAGCAGCTTCGCCTTACGTGTCCCCTGACTCACGGATGCAAGTTCACATGTTTATTTTCCATCTGGACGTCGTCTTGGGTGAAGTGGCTTTTCAAATCTGTTGCCTGTTTTTTGTTTTTTTTTAACTTGGGTTGCTTATTTTTCTTATCATTGCATCTTGAGAGTTCTTTACAGATTCAGGATTTAAGTCTTTTATCAGATGCATGTTCTGTAAATATTTTCAAGTCCCAGTGACTCTGGGACCTGGCCAGAGCTGGGATCCCCTGAAACCCAGAGCAGGCGGCACTCAGAAGCCCTCTGCTTCTCCCCTCCTTCCCTGCTGGGGGACATGGGTCTTTCTCTGGCCCTGTAGGCCCTTCCACTCTGGAGCACTTAGCAGCGCACGCCCCTGCTCAGAGGCCACCAGGTGGTCCTCCAGTGGAGTCTCTGTTGCTCTGTCTGCATGCACATGAGAGGTCACTCGGGAGGCCTTGCCAGTGACCCCCACCAGCCCGTGGCGCCTTCCTGGCGACACTCGGGGCTGCACGCTTATGCAACCGTTGATAAGGTGGTTGTGACGCCATAATCCACCCTAAGTGGCGGCTCAGCTCCGCCCTCCAGACAGGCCCGCTGGAGGCTCAGTTGGTGGCTGCGGAGGGGGCGGTGGGGTCCAGAGTGAGGGGCACCCCGGCCTCTGATGTCCCCTCGGTCACGGCTGGGCTGGCCAGTGGTGACTCCACTCCTGTCGGGGGGGAGTGAGTGAGGACTTTGGGGGCCCAGACCCTGAGTAGGGGCCTGCTGGCTAGAGCACCCCCAAGCACTCTGGGTCCCCAGCCCCAGCAGTCTGGAGGTGGATGGAGGCCAAGATGAGGTCTCTCCTTGGTCCTAGGTGACTGGCTGGCAGGTCTGGATTGGGAGAGGTGAGAGGTGAGAGCCTGCCTCTCTGGAGCCCTCCAGGAAATGACCCCTGGGGCTGGTGGGGGATCTTGGGTGATTGTGCGGGACAATGGACAAAGAGGGCTGAATTTCCAGAGCCACATGCCTTCTGCTGCCTGACTGCTCCTCGGCGGAGCCCAGCTGGTGGGCTGGGCTATAAAGCCTGGCCTCCTGGGGCTCGGATTCAGGTGCCAGGGGCTGGAGAGCAGGCATGGTGATGAAGTGCATCCTGCTGGGCCAGGTCCTGGTGCTGCTCTGGGTGTCCGTGGCTTGGGCTGAGGTCCTGGTGCAGCCCGATTTTGATGCTAAGAAGGTAACAGAGGCCGCTGTGCTGTGTCGCAGGTGGGCGTGGGACCTGAGCCCCATGGAAATGCTAGCACCATGGGATAACAGTGCACCGTCCTCGGACCCTTGGACCCTCTCTCCATTTAATCCTGAAACAACCCTGTGGGGGTAATTACTGACCCATTTTACGGTTGGGGGAACCGAGGTCATGCAACCCACCCAGGTAGGTGGCAGAACAGGGGCTCAGGGCAAGAGATGGGCACAGAAACCCCCGGCCGTGTGGTTCCAGACAAGCCTGTGTGGCCATGTGGCTTTGTGGCCCTGGTCCCAGGGCAAAGCCAGCCACCGAGCTGCTTTGCAGTTCTCAGGCCTCTGGTATGTGGCCTCCATGGTCTCCGACTGCAAGGTCTTCCTGGGCAAGAAGGACCACCTGCTGATGTCCACCAGGGCCATCAAGGCCATGGCGGGGGGCAACCTCAGTGTCCACATGGAGTTCCCTCAGTGAGTGTGATGGGCTGGGGGTGGGGGTAGGCTGGGCCAGCAGCTGAGAGTGAGTCCCGGGCTGTGCACCCCCAGGGCTGATGGCTGTCACCAGGTGGATGCTGAGTACCTGAGGGTGGGCTCTGAGGGCCACTTCAGAGTCCCAGGTAGGTCCTGCTCCACCTGCCTTCCGGGACCCCTGACACAGCTCCATGGGATGACGTGGACTGTCCTTTTACCTGGGACCACCCCCATCACCATCTCCTGCCCCTCCCCTCCTTCCCTCCACCTTCTGCCCTTCCCTTGAGCCCCGAAGCAGAGGACAGTGTGGGTGGGGGTCAGTGTCTGGGCCCTGTACACTTCTCCATGGCTGGGTGGCCCCCTCCTCTGCAGCCCTGGGCTACCTGGACGTGCGCATCGTGGACACAGACTATAGCTCCTTCGCCGTGGTCTATATCTACAAGGAGCTGGAGGGAGCGCTCAGCACCATGGTGCAGCTCTACAGTGAGGGCGCCCAGCTGCCCGCCCTCCCTACTCGGGCCCCCACTGGTCACTGCCCACCTGGCCCTCTCCTCCCCACCCCGGCCCCTCCCCACCTTCTCTGTCTCCCTCCAGCCCCACCCCTCAGGACCTGCCTCCCCACATCAATCACCCCCAACTTCAAGCCAAGAAGGACCAGACAGGGGTGACAGGACCCCCCAGCTCTTCGGATGGGTAGGAGTCGGCTTGAGGGCCCTCTGAGGGCCGGGCACTCTGGCTGAAGCCCATGCAGCTCTCTGGCCTCCTGAGGGTGGGGACCCACTGCCTGAGAGCCTAAGTGGGGGCTGAGGTCCTATTTTGCTTTAATTTCTGAGGGCTTTGACAGAGCGAGCCAGGGGCTCCCCAAGGTACGGAGGTTGGGGTGAAGGCTGGACACTGGTTTTGGCCTGAGGGGTGGGGGCCCCGGGGAACATGGCCCTGGGGAAGAGCCAGGCCATCCCAGGCTCCCAGATACCTCCTGTGAATTAGGAAAGGACACCCTTCTGGGTGGCTTCCAGTCCCCATTGATCCCCCAGCGAAGCAGGCACCTTTGTGCAGTGCACTACCTGCCCAATCTTGGGGAGTAGACCTGCTGTCAACTCTCAAGGAAGAGCCCTGAGGCCAGGAGAGCTCCGCCCCCCTCCCCTCTCTTCTGTGAGCCCCAGGAGAACTCCGCCTCCCTCACCTCACCTCTGTGGGCCCCGGGAGACCTCCGCCCCCCTCCCCTCACCTCTGAGAGCCCCAGGAGACCTCTGCCCCCTCCCCTCACCTCTGTGAGCCCCAGGAGACCTCTGCCCCCTCCCCTCACCTCTGTGAGCCCCAGGAGACCTCTGCCACCCCTCCCCTCCCCTCTGTGGGCCCCAGGAGACCTCCGCCCCCCTCCCCTCACCTCTGAGAGCCCCAGGAGACCTCTGCCACCCCTCCCCTCCCCTCTGTGGGCCCCAGGAGACCTCCACCCCCCTCCCCTCACCTCTGAGAGCCCCAGAGCTCACAGGGGCCCTCCTCTGCCCCAGGCCGGACCCAGGAAGCAAGTCCCCAAGCTGTGAAGATCTTCCGGGACTTCTACCCCACCGTGGGGCTCCCGGACGACATGATGGTCATGCTGCCCAAGTCAGGTACACAGGCCCCTTCCCGACTCCTGGGAGTGAGCCAGACGAGGTGGCATCTCTTGTGAGGGTGGGCTGACAGGCCCTCCAGCTGCTGCTGCCCACAGCCACCTCTTTCCCCCGACACACACTAAGGAAGAGGTTTTGGGCCACCAGGAAGGGAGAGTCTTTCAGTGGGTGGGGCTGTTTGGGGGCCCAAGGCGCCCAGGGGTCGGGCTGCCCGAAGCTGTGGGCATCCCAGCCGGCTCAGCCTCGCAAGGACTATCTTCCTTCCCACAGATATGTGCTCCTCTGGGGACAAGGAGGCTCCCTGACACCTGCGGAGACCCACCTCGGCCCTTCCCAGGTGGGAGGGAGGCAGGGTGACTCCTCCGTCCTGTTCCCCAGGGCCTCTGCCCTGGCTGCCGTGCACCCTGCCTCCCGCGATCCCACTCCCCACACCCTCCCACCCAGGTGCCTGGCCGTCCACTTTCACGATTCAGGCCTCAGCTTACATGCTACCTCTTCCAGGAAGCCTCCTCTGATTTCCTAGGGCTGCCTTAACAAATTACCACATATGACAGAAGTGTACTCCCCACAGTTCTGGGGGCCAGAGGCCCAAAGTCAAGGAGTGGGCCGGGCTGGTTCCTTCTGGAAGCTCTAGGGCAGAATCTCGGCCTCTCCCAGCTTCTGCTGGTGCTGGCGGTCCTCAGCGTCCCTTGGCTTGTAGACCCACCCCTGCTACCTCTGCCTCGATTGTCACCCGGCTGTCCTCCCTCTGCGTGTGTTCAAATGTCCCTCTTCTTACGAGGGCACCGGTCACGGGGGCCGGGCCCACCCTACATCCCTCATCTCCATCCTTAACTGGTCACATCCACAAAGACCCTGTCTTCAAGTAAGGTCCTGTTCTGAAGACCTGGGTGGACATGAATTTTGGGGGATGCTGTCAATCCAGTATGCTGTGTGTCCCATAGCCTCTGACTCACCCCCTGGGTTGCTGGGCCTTGGAACTGTCTGGGTACTTGGTCTCCCCCAGAGGGTCCCATGAGGTGGGAATTGCCACCTTGCGGATCACTGCTGTCACAGGGCTGGGTCCCCGGGAGCCCTTGGGACATGGAAACGGGTGGGCTCTTGGGGACACCTTCCCCCTGAGTACGTGCCAGGAAACTGTCCAGCCTCTTGCTGAGTTCACAGTGAATAGTTTGGGAACCCACATAAAACAATAAATAACAGAAGTGTCAGAGGCAGCCCTGTGGACCCTCCTGGCAGGCCTGTGTTTGTGTGGTGGGGCTCCTTCCTCACCCTGCAGGGAGCGTGCCCGGCACCCCTCCCACCACCCCTCCCAGCACCCCTCCCGGGACCCCACCCGGCATCCCGCCTGGCATCCTGCTCTCCCTGGCTGTGCTGGCTATTCACCCAGTGGGGTGTTTGGGCTGTTTAGACTTCTCATGGGTCTAGAAGATGCTGCCAGCCTCCTGGCCCTGTCTGCACCACACAGGCGGTTGTCTTTGGTGGGAGGAGGGGGGTAGGGATGTGTCAGATCACCCTCTGGAAGGTTCTACCTTCGGAGAGTATGAGCCCCAGCTTCTCGCTGCGTGCTCCGCCCCAACTTTCAGGGTGAAGCGCCCCAAGTTGACCCCCTCTCAGGTGCTGAGTCTGGGGGTTTTGTTGTGCTTTAGTGGCCTCTGGTGTGCCTGGGGGGGCACCTGCTGTGGATGGGGGCAGCTAGAGGCTCTGAGGAGTGTTTGTTGAGAGTGGGTGCATGGAGTGACCGTGCCTTTCCTGTCTGGCAGGGTGAGCTGGACCAGCAGACCTTGTCGTCCCGAGTTGTCTGGACCCACCATCCTCCTGGGTCACCCCCTTTTCTTTATGCCCGGACCTCCCTCTTCCACGCAATAAACATATTCTGCAGTCTAGAGGCCCCTCACTTCTTTGCAGAGGCCCTTGGGGAGTCCTGTCTTGATCCAGGACTCCTGGGGAAACTGAGGCAGGGAAGTGGGCCTGCAGGAGACACTGACCACTGGGCACCTCCTGGCTTGAGGGGACAGGAGGCTCCAGTCCAGCGTGGCACCCGTGAGGGGCTGTACCCGTGGGCGGTGTCTAATGCCATTGCCCTGGCCCCCATGGGTTTGCACACCTTCGGGGAGCCAGGGTGCCCTGTGAAGACCAGCCTTGCTGCTGGGGCTCCGCTGGGCATGCACAGACCCCTGGCTGCAGGAGCTGGGGGCACAGCAACATGGGGGCTTCAGAGCAGGGTCATGGGGGTGTTCCCTCCTGCCGCTGGGGTGACCTTGACCTTTGGCATGTCACATGCTCCACAGTGGACCCCTGGACACACACAGTGAGCTTGCTGCGTTCCTTATTCGGGAAACTGAGGCATAGAGAAGTTGGTGACTTGCCCAGCAAGGGGCCAGGCTGAGGTTCAGGCCCAGTGGTCAGGCTCCAGGGCCTGGGCTCCCTGCGGACCCTCTATGAGATGTTGGTGGGGAAGAGAGCCCTCCCTGGGGGCTGCTGGCCACTGCTGTTCTTCTCCTGAAAGGAGCTCTGCATGTCCAGGTTATGTCCAGCGCACACACTTCAAAGGGCCGGGCGTGGGTTGGGGCAGGAAGGTAGTGGGGGTCCTGCTTCATTGCTCACGGGTGTCCTGCAGCCTTCCCAGGGCTGGAGCTGGAGGCAATCAGCCAGATCAGATGAGGGGCGTCTGTCCTCGTCACCCAGAGACATTGTCCCCCATGCTTCCTGTCCTCCCTCTGCTGCCTGGCCAAGCACATCCCTGGGGGGGCCCTCTCTCATCAGCCCAGGCTGGGACCAGCCTGGGTCCCAGACCAGCCAGTCCTCAGCTTCCTTGGGGGGCCCCTGCTGTTCTTGCTGTGTGGTGGCCCCCTCAGCCTCTGGCGGGCTGGCCAGCTCTGGGCCTCCCTGTCCTGGCCTGACCTTCCCCCCCGTGCCTGACCCTAAACTGACAGCCTTTGTGGGAGGGCAGTGCAGCATCCAGGATCCGAGGTGGCCAGTCCCCCTTGTGGGGGGAGCTCCCCTTTAGCTGACCAAGCCTGGAGCCGTTCCAGGGTGCACTTTTCTGGCCCTGAGGCTGGGAAGGTTGCCTCTTACTGGTCAAGACCCGGGATGCTGATCTGGGCAGGAGCTGCTCTGGGCACCCTCGGACCCCTCCTGGCCACATGGCACCTGTCCCCCTGCTTTGTGGCCATAACAGATGGGAAACCAAGGCTCACAGCTTGCCGGGCGGGGGCTGCTGTCCCGGAAGCCCAGCTCCTCTTGCCGTGCTCATGGTCGGGATAAAATCTGTCGATGGGGGGGGGGGCCCAGCTGGGGAAGAGCCGGCTCTGGCCTCCCACCACCCTGACTCATGTGCTGGCTGTGTTCATTGGGTCGGTGGGTCAGCAAGACAGGGCCTCTCTCAGGCCGGCCTTCTGGGCTGTGGGTCGTACCTGGCTGTGTGGGAAGCCTGAGTGAGTCCAGGGGAGGTCGGGCGTGGGGCCTGGCCTGGGGGCGGGGCTGGGTATGGTCACGGTGGATGGGGACACGGGCCACAGGAAGGTGGCTCCCCAGTGTGTGCAGAGGTCCCCAAGATGTGGCCCCCACCTCGGTCTCCCAGGGGCCTCTGTGCCTCTCCCATGCTGCTCCCAAGCTTCGCCTCCCCGCGGGGGCCTCCCCAGGGAGAGGAGACCCCTCATTCTTGTCCCCCCTCAGCTCAGTGCTGCCTCAGCCAGCCATACCAGAGCCTCGGAGCCTTTCTTCACCTGTCCCAAGACTGATGAGAAAGAGCCTGAAAACCGCCCGTGCCCTGTGAGGAAGGAGCTCTGTGCCTGGGGGCCTGGGTGCACCGTACCCATCTGTCAGCTCCGACGGGCTTGGAGCTGTGGTCCCCAGCCGCCCCGTGGTGGTGGGGGGCCTCGTCCTCCTCCTCTCAGGCCCCCCAGCGGCCCCACTGCGGGTCCACTGTCGTCCCAGGCCCAGGTCGGTGGTGGCACCGCTGCGTTCGCGCAGGCTGACCCCACCCCAGCGGCTGGGTGTCACTGGGCCCCCATGGTGTGCCTGCAGAAAGCCGTTTCGCTGAGCGGCCTCGGCCACGTGTACTGATGACATTCCCAGGTTCTTGCGCAACACTCCTCCGGTATAAACCCAGGTGCTGGGGGAGCAGAGGCGCGGAGAGCAGCGATGGAGGCTGGGATGCTGAGTGCCATCCTGGGCGTCGTCATGGTGCAGGGGGGCACAGCCATACAGGACCTGGATCTGCAGAAGGTGGCTTTTCTGTCTTGCGTGGGGAGGCCGGGGCAGGGAGGGGCCTGAGTGTCCAGCCACTCCAGCCACCACCCCCCCGGTCCCTCCAACCCCCAGCCAGTGCCAGAGCAGCTACATCAGGGGCCCCAGGACCCACCCAGTTCAGCCTGGACAGAGCAGGTGGCTGAGGCTCTGAGCCCAGCCTGGCCGGTCACCCCTGTCCTTGAGAGGGGGTGTGAGAGCAAGTGCCCAGGGCCCGGCAGGGCCAGAGCTCTCCCTGAGGGTCTCCTGTGGGCAAGTAGCCTGGTCCTCCAGGGTTTCCAGGGACCGGGGCTCAGCGTGGCCACCTCCTGCTCCTGGATCATTGGGGTCCATCCCCCGGGAGCTCCGGTAGGAACAGGCCAAGTGCCTGGGAGCAGCCCTGCTGTACCAGCTCCCAGGGTGCTGCAGTGTGGTGACCAGAGGACGCTTTCCCAGTGTGGGGAGCTCGTCTGGGGCCCCAGGTCCTTCATAGGTCTGCATTGGCAGCCGAGCTGGGAGCACGTCAGAAGGCTCAGGGATGACACGTACTGGGGACATGTATTCTTTTCTCTTGCAAAACAATTGGTTTCCAGGTTTCAGATGGAAGTTCTGGGCTGTGGGTGGATTTCGGAAGGCGGGAGTTCCCTACCCCAGCTCCCAGTGTGGGGGCGAAGCTGTATCCTCCCGTGGGTGACAAGGGCTGCTGGCCGCTGCCTCCTCTCTGGGGCCCCAACCACCGCTGCCCCTGGCATCCTGGCCCCAAGGACGGCGCACTGCTGTCTGATGGGCTGGAGGGGTTCCTCAGAAGGATGGTGACTGCTGCTTTGCCACAAAGACTTGCTGACCTTTCAGGGACCCCCGGCACACTGCTTGGGGGCCCTGGGTGGGTCTGCCACATCGGATGGGGCTCCGGCTTCTCTCTCTAGATTGTAGGATTCTGGCGGGAAGTTGGTGTGGCCTCCAGCCAAAACCTGGCACTGAAGACCCCAAAGAGGCTGGAAGCCTTGTTCCTGACCTTGAGTGGACATGAGCTGATTGTGAAGGCTGCATATAACAGGTGAGGGGTCCCTCCCCCGGGAGCGCCGGTAGGAACAGGCACGTGAGGCCGAGTGCCTGGAAGCAGCCCGGCTGCACCAGCTGCAGCTGTGGGGCCTGAACCGTGTCAATCCTCCCTGTGTCCAAAACCCAAGACCTTGGCCCCCACCCCCAGCACCAACCCCCCCCAGGCTGCTGGAGCTGCCACATGTAGATCTGCCCCAGACCTTCAATTCTCCCAAAAATAAGCGTAGAGTTTTGATAAAGCCCCATTGAGTTATAAGAAAGAAAATTGGGCACGGGGCTCTCTGGAGGCCCCCGCTCTGCACCTCCACCGTCCTCATCGTGGCCCAGGCTCTCCTGGGTACAGACACACTGCTGGAGCCCTTTCTGAGGATACATTCCCCTCTCTGCACCCCCTGGGATGTGCCCGGCAGAAAGAATGCAGGCTGGCATTTCCTTGATGAGCACGTTGCTGCCTTTCAGCTCAGGAAGTTGTGAGACAGAAAAAATAGTGAGCTCAGAAATAGATGTTTCGGGGACATTCATTTTTCCTGGTAAGAACCCTTGCCTGTTGCTACAGTTTCAACCCCCTGGCTCTGCATACCAGCTGCACTGGCCTTGCTATTTTTCCTGTGCTGTTCCCCATGCTGTTCCCTGCACTTCTCCTCATGCCCCAGAAGCTCCCATTCTCTTAACACAAGTGGATCATCCTTCAAGGGCTGCTCTACCCATCCCCCTCCCCCCGTGCCTAGCATGAAGGGCAGGTCTGGGCGCTGGGTGGGGAGAGGATGGCGTCAGACCCCACACCCCACCTCGGAGGTCTCCCAAACTGCGTGGTACCTGTCGGCATGTCTGCAGTCTCCCCACTCCCACCTGCCGCCAGGCCACAGGGAGATCCACGTGATAGACACGGACTATGAACAGTTTGCCATTTTGAGGCTGTCCCTCCACTGGCAAGGCAAGGACTACCATGTGCTCAAGTATTTCAGTAAGTGCACCCTGGGGTGGGGGGGGGGAGCTGCTGCTGCCCTCCTGGGGACAGCCCCGCCCAGCCCAGCCCCCTGTGCCCCCCACAGCTCGGAGCCTGGAGGACGAGTATGGGCCAGGCTTCTGGAGATTCCGGGAGATGACAGCAGACATGGGGCTTTACCTGGTGGCCCGGCATGGTGAGCCCCAGACCTTCTGGGTGGGCGCTGGACTGGGGACCCTGAGGGTGGGAATAGGCCCAGTCCTGCGGCACCTCACACCACCCCTGTCCCACAGGGAGATGCGCCAAGCTCCTGAAGGAGGTGAGCTTTGCCCTGGGCTGCGCTGAGTCCCCTAAGCTGAGTCTTCCGACCTGACAGGGACCCTGAATCACTCTGCATCCTGGGCCTCCAGGGTGTGGACACCAGGCTGCCAGAGGGGGACCCCGGAGGCTGGGGCCTCGAAGACAGGGCTGGGGGAGGGACGGGAGGAGGCTGGGCCCTCGTCCTGCCTTTCTGGCCAGCAGGGTGGGGACACAAGCCCTGTGGGCACCGTCTCGGGTTCCCCGTGTCCCACACGGTGCTAGCCCATCCCCTGCATGATCCCCTCTGTCTCAGCACAGCCCCGAGAGCTGGGGACTGTGACCCTGCCTTGCAGGTAGAGAAACTGAGGCCCAGGGAGGCTTTTTGCTCACAGTCATGCAGCTAGGACACGGGCCCCCACCCGTGGCCTTAACCACTGCCCCCAGGGGCCTTTGGAGGTCAGGCAGTGCCCTGAGGCCCTGCCCTTCTGTGTCTCAGGAGCTGATCTAGAGGATGCCTGTGCCCAGGCCGGGATGCTCCGAGCCTCCGCCCCCACCCCCGGCCTCTCCTGGCCCCAGGGCGCTGCTGGTACCTTCTCCGAATAAACCCCACTGACAAACCCACTGCCCCGAGTGTCTTTCTTGGGGGAGCGGGGCCTGAGGGGTGACGGCTGGGGCCGTGGGGTGTGTTTTCCATGACTGTCCTGACAGTGACAGCAAACCTAACTCTGGTGGTCTGTGTACACCACGAGCATCGCTGGTGAGCGGGAGCCATTCAGATCCCATCCCTGGCTGGACCTCTGCCCAGAGAGGGCTGAGCTGGGGGGACACCACTGGCCAGGCTGGCTTCCGGTCTGGTCTGTGTTTCCTTCCCTGTGGGGCCCGGGGACTGCACAGCTCGGATGCAAGATGGCAGGGTCCTCTCCCTCCTTCCCACCCGAGGGTCATGCCCAGTCCTGCCCTGCTCAGGGCCCACAGGCCAGGCTGCCCATGTGTGTGGGCCCCACAGTCATCCTCAGGCTATTGCCCTGCTCCCCGAGAGCCTGAGCGGCCCCAGGCCTGCTGCCCTTGAGCAGAGCAGCAGGTTAGATCTCTCAGATGAAAGGGGACCATGCTGCATTTCTGCTTACATTCTTCCATGGCTCCCTACTGCCCCAAAGTCAAATCCCATGGGCATTGTGGCCAGGGCCCTCCAGTCATGGCTGTTCTGTCACCCTGCTCGCCTCCTCCCACCCACCTTGCATGGGTGGTCCAACCTCTTCAGTGTCTGGGTCCCCATCATGAACTCTGTCACTCCATGATCTGCACTGACTGTCTGATCACCACATTTTCTTCCATCACCTGGGGCTGAGACTGGAGGGCATCCCGGGTGGCCTGGTCAGGGCAGGGAAATTGGGGCGGGTGTCAGCTCCATGGTTCTGAGCACAGCCCGGGACGACCAAGGCTTCTGGGGAGCAGCTGCCCCATGGGTGAGGCAGGAGAGGAGTCCCCGAGGTCCAGCAGTGCTGGGGGACTGGCGGGCACCGGCCCGGCCAGAGCAGAGAAACCCCAGTGACACTCAGCCATCCAGCCAGGAGCGAGGCCTGCCCCGAGGGTGGGGCCTGCCTGGGACTTGCCGGACTGATTCCTGAGCCAAGTTCCCAAAAGACCCACAGGAGGGATGTTTGGAAGCTGCATTCTGACAGATTAGGGGTGCCTGGGGACAATTTGGATTTTCCACGGATCTGTCCAGCCAAAGCTTGCAAAGAGTGCAAGGTGACCTGCCTGCAAGGTGACGGAGTCATCTCCATCGGCTCGGGCAGCCGTCACAGAGTACGGCGGGCCGCGGGTGGCCCTGGGACATCGGGGGTTTATTTCTCACACTTCTGAAGCTGGACGCCCTAGGTCAGGGTGCTGACAGGGTTGGTCTCTGGTGAGACCCCGCTTCCTGGCCTGGAGCTGGTGGGCTTCCCACGGTGCCTGCCTGTGGCCTCCACTCCGCGCACCGGGAGACATCGCTGGGGCTCCCCGCCTCTTAGAAGGGCGCCAGTCCTAGCAGATGCGGTCCCACCGGCACGAGCCCCCCGCACCCCGTCACCGTCACCGCCTAAGAGGCCCCAGCTCCAGACACAGCCGCAGTGGTGACTACAGTTTCAACAGTAGCATTTCTGGGGATGCAGTACCGTCCCCGACAAAAGCCCACACCACTCAGAGGGCGACAAGGGCATCCAGGGCCTCTGCAAGGCAGTGTGAGCACACAGGCCGCTGGACGCTCGAGGAAACAAGGGGGGTGGGAGACTAGGAGGAGGTCCCCAGAAGGGGTTTCGAACACACTGGCCCAGCGCTGCTCTCATAAGTAAGTTCAAGGACAAAAGGAAGGCAGGCTCCGGGAGCTAGCTCGTTCTGAGATGGCAGAATTAAACAGTCAGCTAATGCACAGAGAACTAACGTGGGAAGAGATGGGCCCTTGGAGCTGGAGACTGTGTGGAGAGCCAGGCCGGAACACCGATGCCACTCGGGGTCGCCGGGCCCCGGGCTTTCCTGGACGGGCTTAGCAGACGGCAGGTGGCCGGGAACTGGACAAATCAACGCAGATCATCGGAGCCAAGGAGCAGAGCAGAGAATGACTGGGGCGGGGGCGAGGTCGGGCATGTAGACTCGTCCCAGCAAGAGAAGGCAGAGAAAATGGGGCAGAAAAATATTTGAAGAAATAGAGGCCAAAATATGCCCAACTCTACGAAACACATCCCTGAGGCTCAGGGAAGCCTATGCGGGACAGGTGCGCCACTCCCAGGGACATTGCGAGGTGAGGCACTCCCGCGGTTTGCAGACTAGGTGAACGGAGCTGGGGGAAAGGGCCCTTCAGCAGCAGAGGCCAGGCGCGGAGGCACATCTCCCAAACAACTCGGAATTGCAGGAAATGAAGCTATGTTTACACAGATCGAAGTGCAGAGAGTTCGTCCCTAGCACATGTGCAGTACAAAAAGTAAATGTTAGCATGGTCCTCAGGCTGAGGGACATCGTGGGTGATGCCCACGCAGGTCCGCAGGGAGCTCAGGAGGGCTGGGAAACTGGGAGAGCGTGGCTCAGTGCAGCTGGCCAGCATCCTTCGGGGACCTCGAGTCTTCGCTTCTCCTCCACGTGTGTCTTGTCTGTCAGTACGGACTTGGGCAGCCCTCCTTCCTTCCATAAATTATCACGTATTGCGGTCTTTTATCTTGATACGCAAACCCGTGCAGATTTGTCCAGTGGGGGCTCCTTCAGGATGGCCCCTGAGTATTTTTGACACGTTCCTCTGATTCCTCAAACACATGTTTACTCTCTGGGACCAGAATCAACCCAAGTTCCTCTTACGCTTCCTGTGACTCAACCTTGGAATAGTCTCTCCAAGGAGCCTGGTTCCTTTTTGTAGAGAACAGTACTGAGGAACCAAGTTCTGAGGGCCAGGTGCACTCAGCTTTGCTTCTCACTGGGACAGAATGGTGTTGAACCTTTTCAGCAGAGAGATCCCCCCTTTCCCCATGCCTTCCCAACCCTGGGAGAACCATTCTCCTCTGACCCGCCCCCGAGCGCGCAGAAAACAGTTCTAGAGTTGCTCACCCAAACCACTGCAGAAAGCAAGCCTCAAAACGACCAGAACTCAGCATTTGCTTAGAGCTCCTTTACTCTTTAGCCTGAGAATATATAGAAAAAATACTCCATCCAAAGTTTCTCAGGGCTGATTCCACTGCCCCCTTCCGGTGGTTATGTCATTCGCTTATAATACAGTTGTATTCCATTCATTTATTATTAAGTGCAGTAGATTACCATGATCCCAAGGTCAAAGCTACACAAAGAAGGTATGCTCAGGGGAGCCTGGGTGGCTCAGTCAGTTAAGCGCCTGACTCCTGATTTCGGCTCAGGTCATGATCTCAGGGTCATGGGATCAAGCCCCGTGCCGGGCTCCTCCGAGGTCAGCAGGGAGTCAGCCTTAAGATTCTCTCTCCAGTCCCTCTGCCCCTCCCCCTGCTCTCTCTCTCTTCTTCTAAAATAAATAAATAAATCTTAAAAAAAAAAAAAGGTGCTCTCTCTCTTTCTGTCAAATAAATTAATAAAATCTTTAAAAAAAAAAGAAAAAAAAAAAGAAGGTATGCTGTGGGGAGGGGGTCTAAGTTCCTCCCCAGCCTACCCCTGTGGGTGACTAAGCTCTTTAGACTCTGATTATCCTTCCTGTGTTTCTTCTTGCAGAAATAAGCAGACAACATGAGTTTTCTTATCATCCTTTCTGTCTCACCTAGAAGGCTGTGTACTTCACATGCCCTTTGGCACTTGGCTTTTTCCACTTTACAATACACCTGCATGTCGTATCACTCACTCCATGTTGGTTCATAGAGACCTTTGGGTTATTTTTTATAGTTGCATAGGACTGTTTGTGGGTGCACCATCTGTGATTCAAACAGTCTCCTGGGTGTGGGCACCTAGCCGACTTCCAACAGTTTTCAATCACAAACAATGCTTTACTGAGTAACCACTGTGTGTATCTATCATTTGTATTGTCTCAGGTACTTCCTTAGGATAGATTCCTGTGAGTGGGATTTCTAGAACAAAAGACAAACGGGCATGTAGTTAAGTTTTGTTAGATGTTGCCACATTCCCCTTTATAATGATTGTACCATTTGCAGTCTGACAGGCAGTGCATGGGCATGCTCGTGTAGCCAAAGTGTGGGTGGTGTGGCTAAGCTCTGCAATTTTTGGCAGTATGATAGGCGATAAATGGCATCTCTGCATTGTTTTAATTTGCATTTTTCTTATTGTGAATGAAAATGAACACTGTATCTATTCACCAGGGCTGCCATTACAAAGCACCACAGACTTAAACATCAGAGGTGTGTTCTCTCCCAGCTCTGGAGGCTGGAGTCAGCTCCAGGCGTGGCAGGGCCAGTTCCTCCCAAGGCCTTTCTCCCTGGTGCATAGATAGCCGTCTTTTCCCCACGTCCCCACATGGTCGCCCGTGTGTGTGTGTGTGTGTGTCTGTGTGTACCTTAATCTCTTCTGATAAGGACCCCAGGTACGTTTAACCTGAACAATCTCATTTTGACTTAATTAACTCTTTAAAGCCTCCATGTCCAAACAGAGTCATATTCTGATGTTCAGGGGTCACAGGACTTCAGCATAGAAATTGGTGGGGGGTGTGTGGAATGCAATTCATAACAAACATCTTTTCATATGTTTAGGGGTCATTTTAACTTTTTCGTGTGAATTATCTGGTTATGTCATTTGTCCATTTTTTCTGATGGGTTTTCAGCCCTTTTTTCCTTTAATTTCTAAAAGTTTCTTATGGAGTATGGTTATTAGCCCTTGCATGTGATATATGTTGGAAATATTTTCTCCAGACTTGTCACTCATCTTTTGACCTTGTTTATGGCTTTATTTTTGCTATAAAAAAGTTTAAAAATATAGTCAAGTTATTTATCAGTACTTTCTTTTATTACATCTGGATTTTATGCATAGTTAGTGTGGCCTATGGGTTTGTAGTGGCTTGATTTGCCTGGGCTGCATGATATTGCCCAGAATTCCCAGAAGACAAAAGCCTTACAGGGCCTGTGAAATGAGCTCCTACAGTGATGTGAGGTCAACCTCCTGCCACAAACCCCTTATTTGTGAATAT